TTTTTTTCTGTGATTCAGAAATACTGGGAATGGCTAATGGGGTTCTCTGCAGTCAAGGTGTTGGCCAGGACTATAGTCTTCTTAAGGCTCCTTTAGGGAAGAATCTGCTCACATCAGCGGTTGTTGACAGTATTTAGTTCTCTTGGGCTGCTCGACTAAGGGCCTCAGTTCCTCACTAGAAGCATCCCTCACTTCCTTGCCTGTGAGTCTCTTTACAGGATAGCTCACAATATAACAGCTATGAGTTAAGTGGGACAGCATGAGAGGTGGATGAACAAGACAGTTTCTTTTAACATAATCTTGGAAGTAACTTCTCATCACTTTTGCCATACTCTTTTCATTAGTAGCAAGAAGTCACTAGGTCTAGCCCACACTCAAAGGGAGGGAATTACACAAGGGCATGAATGCCAGAAACGCAGGAATCATGGGGACCCATCTTTGAAGCTGCCTAGCACAGTGCATTTGAGGAAATAAAACTAGAGGCAGAGGAACTACTTAAGCTATTATAATAATCCAGGTAAAGGATATGGAGATTATTGTAGATGTGTCATGGAATGGGAGGGAAGGTGATGGAGGCAATAAATATTTAGGATGTTAAATCATGAGAACTTGTTGATTTAGAGCATGGGAGTTATAAGGAAGAAGGAAGAATTAAGGGTGCCATCTAAATATTCTTGATTCTTAAATAATCATCTATCTGTAAAATATTTTTACTAGAAAGTGATGGAAACTCTTGTCCACATTGAGCTTTTTCATCTTCATTAGCTTTCATTCCCGCCTATATTTTAGTCATCTAGACTTGACCTTGACATTGCTTTCACTGTTTTTTTTCCACAATAGCCAGTTGTTGTTGTTGTTAGGTGCCATCAAGTCGGCTCCGACTCATAGCGACCCTGTGTACAACAGAACGAAATGCTGCCCGGTCCTGTGCCCCCTTAGCCAACTTCAAGCAGTAGAGTGGTGGCTTACTACCTTGACTCATTGGAATCACCTGAAGAACCTTTTCAAAATGTAGATATCTAGACCTTCCCTCAAAATTCTGGTTCAGTATGTTAGAAATTAAAACTCTAAGGTGAATTTTCTAAGGTGAATTTGATGTGTAGCTAAGTTAGAAAATGCCATTAGCATCACCCTAACCATTACAATTAGCAGTTGTTATGTTGCATTTAATCATCCATATATCCTAAAGCAGTAATTGCCAAATACTGGTTGAAGACTAGCTACACCATCAGTTCATGCAGACTTTTAGGCCCTGTCTATTCACTAGGTCTGTGGTAATGTCTAGGTTTCTGTATTTTTTAAATAATGAAACAGGACTGATGTGTTAAGCAGGTTGAAGTATATTTTATAAATGGACTGAAACAGCATATTAGTTTTGTTTGTATCTTCTTTAACAGTTCTGTTCAGATAAATGCATAGAAATATGAAGGATCAGTTGGAAATACTGGCTTTAGAAATTACCTTGGAAGGTTATAATCTTTGGAGTCATGTTTCAAATAGTGGTTGAATGACTGCTGTGTTTAGATTTTTAGATGGTTTAGTGTACTAAGTATTATAACTTTAGTCTGCTATACACTAATACTGTGTTTTCTCTAGTTCCTGTATTTTAGATAATGGTTTCCTGATCAAATTAAAAATTTGGAACAATGACTGGGTTCTTTTTTTCATTCTGATAAATTTTATTATATTCTGTATTACTTTATTGCAGGATGGGATTGTCAGAATGTGATTTTAACAAATTGGTTTTGTTCCTTTTCTTTAGTGTCATTCCTCTTCTAAGAGAATCTGTTGGAATATTGATGCAGAGAACTCCTCCCCTGTTGGAAAATACTCTGCCTCAGTGTTATCAGAGGGTAAGGTTCAGAGCTCCCAGGCAACTGGATTTTATGTTGTTTTTAAACTGTTAGGGTTTTTAACTTTTACAGAAATGGGTACCATGTGTGAATAATTTAGTATTTCTTCCCAGATTGAATGCTGACCATGAATGCCATTTATGTAAACCAAAACAAAATCCTTGGAAAATATTGAACTTTACTAAAGAAAATGTGGTAAAAATTTGTCCTCATCTAGAAATTGAAGGTTTCTTTCAAAATACAGAATATGAATAGCAGATGAGATAAGCATTTAGTCAGCATATATTTTTTGAGCTCCTGCTTTGTGGCAGACATTTCCAGGGTACTTGAGATGTCATGGTAAACAAGACAGACATCATTTCAAGGCACTTAAAGCCCAGTGGGGATACATAAATATATAAATAATTACAGTAGTAAAAATAAAACAGGGTGATATGATGGGTGGCTATATTGGATTCACTGAGGAAGTCATATTTAAGTTGAACTTTGATGACAAGAAGGAGCCAGCCATATGAAAATCTTGAAAAAGAGTGTTCCAGGCAAAAGAAAATGCTTATAACAAAAGTATTATGGCTGGAACTAACTCAGTGTGCTTGGGAAGCCAAAAGCTACTGTGGCTAAAGCATAATGAATAAAGGGAAGAGTGGCTTGTAAGATTGGAGAGAATGGCAGGGGCCCGATCAAGCAGAAGGTTTGGTCATAAAAGAGGTTTAGATTTAACTGTAATTCAATGGAAAGCATTGGAAAGCTTTTAGGTGGGGAAGTATCATAAATTTAAGTTATATTTTTAAAAGATTATTCTGGTGGCGTAGTGCCTAAGGTATCTGACTGCTAACCAGAAGGCTGGTGGTTCAAATCTACCAGCCACTCCTCAGAAGGAAGACTGGGAAATATGCTTCTGTAGAGATACTGCCTCGGAAACCCGAGGAGGAGTCACTATGATTCGGGACCGACTTGACATCAGTGAGTTTGGTTTGGTTTTGGTTATATAAAGAAGAAATTCTAGGGAGGAGGAAAACTTTTTTGAGATTGTGAATTCTATCACTTCCTAAGAGTCTACTTCATGGATTCTGTCCTTTATTTCCTTCCTTCCTTATTTCTTGGGCCTTTCTTTTTTTAAACTTCCTTAGCACATTTGTGTTTATTCTTGTTCTCTGATCGATAAGTTTGAAACTGAACTTTCCCAGCTTCTGTCTCAGCTGTGCCCTATAAATTTTGATATGAGTACTCTATACATAGCAGCTCAATACATACTTGTTAATTAAGTCAAACATTCCCTCCTGTTTTTAACTAGCGAGTCTGTTAACTGACATTGCACAATAACCTAAGTGGGAGAGGACACTTATATTTTATTATGTTAATATCTATACTTTATATTTTAGGTGCAGCAGTTGCAAGGTGTTTACAGTTTACAAGAGCAGCATTTCTGGACTTTATGTTCTGACGTTTATGTTGGGACCTTGAAATTAGTGGTAGCCCCTGATGCTGATGCAAGGTGGATTTTAAGCCAAACGCATAATATTTTTACTCAGGTATGCTATTTTATTCACTTCTTTTGAGGATCTTGAGATCTACTACATACATTAGTTTTAGAAATATTTAATATTTAAACATCTTAAATATGTACTACTACATTATGAAGTAAAGCTTTAATTTTTTTCAACCACAGAGATAAAATATGGGAGAACCTTATTTTAGTTAATACTCTTACAGAAGATAGTTCCTTTTTTTTCTTTAATGGTTGTACTGATTTGCATCCCTTCAAGAGAAAGTATATTCTCCTTTGAGAGGCACACAAGAGGTACAGACAACAAAGATAAACACTTTTGAATATACAATATTGCATTATCAGTAGTAACAGACATTAATACACAGGCAGATACATAGGTAGACAGACTGTGAATGATCTGGGCTGTCTAGACAAAAGAAAACATACCCATGACCACATATGAGTTTCGCAGATGACTATTTCTACAGTGTATTTATATGTGTTGTAAGAATGTCCGTATAAATAGAACTAGCAAGGGGCAAGGTTATGGTAACTTCTTAGCCACCCAGCCACCTTGAGGGAGAGAGTTGTTGGACCTGTGGGCTTGGAACCATGGTCTTGGGGAACAGCAAGCCCAGTTGGCGTAACATACTACACAAAAACATTGTTCTACATCCTACTTTGGTGAGTAGCAACTAGGGTCTTAAAAGCTTGCAAGTCACCATCTAGATGCAGCAGTTGGTCTCTCCTCATCTGGAGCAAAGAAGAATGAAGAAACCCAAACACACATGGAAACAGTCCAAGGGACTAGTGGACTATGCAGACTTCAGCCTACATGACCATGACACCAGAAGAAATAGATGATGCCCAGCTACCATTGTCAACTACTCAGAAAGGGATCGTTGTAGGAGATACTGGATAGAATAGGAGAAAAATATGGAACAAATCCCAAAATCATAAAAATGACCAGTCTTAGGAGCTCTGGTAGCATAGTGCCTAAGGCACTTGACTGCTAACCAGAAGGCTGGTGTTTCAAACCCACCAGCCCCTC